AAAGGATGACGCTCGAAACGTGCGGATTCTTCCTGATGTAAGAGGTGAGTCTCCGCTTTGTTTTGGTTGTTTTGGTGTCGACATCATGCTAGCGCGCAACATTCTGTGACTCTTAAAAAAACAGTAAAAACGGTGAAAAACGCTGGCAGCGAAAGAGAATTGGCTTTAGATATCGGCCATCGGCAACCAAATTCTTTAGAAATCGACATCAGCCTTCAAAAACCATATCAGTCGGCCTCTAGTTATGAGTACAAGTACTTAGTTTTGAGTACTTCCCAAATACTGTTCTGAATACTAATGAATGCCATTGAACTCCTGTTCTATTTTCACAGGAACCTTTTCTGGAAAAGCTGCTGCGTTTTTAGTGTTTTATGCTTCTATAGAACCGACCTGTTCAACTTTCACAACTTTGAGTTGACCATGCTAGCTTAAACTCGTGCTAGCATCACAGATTACTATCGTGTACCAGACAGTTAAAGTAGTATCGCTCAGTTACTCGTTAATATCCGTTCACCTGACCTAGTTTAGCTTAGAGAGAGATGCCTGTCGACCGGTTCTGGAGCTCATGCGGGCTTCTGTGGGCTGGATCCGACCCAGACACCAGTGAGCCAGTCCAGCTGGGATTTTTAAAAGCTGTGCATGATCTTCTCCTGGAGGTCCACGGTGGTTCTGATCCGGTTCCGACCCAGAAACCAGCTGGACTGGCCCGCTGAGCTGCGCATCTCTTCTGGTGGTCATTCTGACCTGGTTCTGGCCTGGTTCTGACGGTGATCCCAGCTCCAGAAATCTGAATTTAAGTTTTTAAGTGACCAAACATCACCTTCTGGAGTATTTTCCTTCTGGTAAGTTACAGATGGTGTACGTTTATTCATACATCGCTTCTGTCCTTCAACCGTGACACACACACACACACACACACACACACACAGATACACACACACACACCAATAAGCTAATGCAGGCGCGCTGACACACAACACAACTTCTCCTGCTACACTTCTATGGGATGACTATTTTGTTTTACTAGAAAAACCAACAAATAAAACGTTTACCTCATCCGGACGTTTACATCCGCTCACGCCACAAACAAGATAGCCGAAAATGTCCGTTATGCAGAACTGCAGCGGCAACAAAATGTCTTGGGTCTTTCATATAGATCAAAACCATTCATAACGTTGATTTTGTCCACATTCCGGTCCCCGGCGTCTTCATAAAGCGTATCCCTGTGTATTCCACATCCTTTTTGGGATTTCATAATGTTGTTTAACACGTTCTTTCACCCAAATCTCGTTCTTCTCTATGACAGTGCCGTTTGTTTCATGGTTTGTTTACGCTTGTCAAACTTCCGACATGTCCGTGCGTATCCCAGAATGCTACTGTAACGACACTATGTATGTACACTATGCATAATAACGTGTGATCACAAGCCCTATAAGTGCATCCCTAGTTGGTAGCTTGTTACAACCCCGACACGTGTTGTTAAAATGTGAAGGAGGGGTAACATTAAAAACATGACAGTGGAGTTAAAATGGGTTTCGTTGTCATAAAAGGTTCTAAAAACAAGCGAGCAAACAGATTGAGAGCATTATTAAAATAATGCTAAACAATAACTCTCAAAAGGGTTAACATTAAAATATCAATTACCAACATTTAAAACACTTGGTTGAAACTTATGTTAGAAGTTTTACTGAACAGAAGGTGTTTAAAACCAGAGTCAATAAAGTTGCATCACCAAGTTAACCTTTGCAACGATCCCTCTCGACCACTCAGAGCTTTAAAAAGTTTAAGCTCATCAACTCGAAGGGGTTTAAAACGACGCGAAGCCTGGAGGACAGCAGAGCGGGTCGTCAGAGGGATTCGGCCCAGGTGTGCTCCTCAGCAGCCTGGAGGAGAGGAGGTGGAGGAGGAGCGGTGTCAGGCTGGTCACCGGGGCTGGGGCTGGGAGATCCTGACTCCTGCATCTGAAGAGGCCAGGCTGGAGGCCGTAACACCCCCACACATAAAAAAAAAGAAAAATGATAAAAGTTAGTGAAAACACACAAAACCAGCTGTTAAAAGTAAGCATCCCATACTAAACGCTAAGAGAGCCCCGATATAAAACCAATAAAGCAGGCTATCTGAACCCCTAGTTTGTTTGAGTTGTGTTTCTGGGCTAACGAGGCTAACGAGGCTAACCTGCCTAGCACAGCTAAAGATAAATAAAAGTCATTCCTGTGAGTTGGAGCTATGCAGCTCCTTGTTTAATCACAAAAGAACTGAGGCTGACGTGGTTTTCCTGCTCGCCTGTGTTGGATGTTAGGAGTTCTGCATCATTGTGGGTCAGCATCTGCACTGCGCTGAGTGGGCGGAGCCTGCTTTTGTTAGGAGGGAAGCTGCTCCTGACAGAAGGAGCAGACCTGGAGCTTCTTCTAGTGGGAGATTTCTCTTCTTCTGTGTATTTTATACATTTATTTAATGTGGGCTCTATTGTGAGAAAGTACAGAACTTGAAGAACATTGTCAAACAAAGTAAAGTAACTTTATTAATCGCTTCAAAGAGTACAAGAACATAAAAATACTTCTTAACTGTTGTAATTCATCATTTGTAACTTGACTCCCCTCCAACATCATGTATTTATCAAACTGACTCAGGGTCAGCAGAACGTCCATTGTAACTAAAACACACAAAAACATATAAAGCATGAGAAAGCTTTCCATTTACAGTTGAAGCATCATTGGTCCAAGTGGTGTTTATCTGTAGGGGGCGCCACCGAATCAAAAATCTGGTGTTAGTGTTTCTTAGCGCTGAACTCACTTCTGTTGGTGTGGTTCTGCTGAACCAGGTCTGTTACCCACTTCCATCCAAACATCAAGCTTCAACCCCACAAGCTGGGTTGAAATATGCAACGTCATCCAGCGTCATCCAGCTGATGAATAACAGATCAAACAGCAGAACGTTTGGGACGGTTTAAGTTTCTGGCACCAGTTCAGCCATTAATCTGGTTAAAATTTAATCCTGACGAGTTTAATATTTAGAAATCTGCTAATTCCATCAGCGTGTGTAAACAGGAAGTTCCCCTTCATGTTAAACTCACTGTTCGTGTTTATCTTCTGAATCATTCTCACATTCTGTCCTGAAGCTTTGAAACGTTCCCGTTCCCTGATCAGTGTAATGATGATGTCTTAGGATCGTTATGTTCGGCTCTAGTTGCTGGTGTGAACACACACCTGTTAGAAACCTGATGCACACGGTTTCCTCCTGCAGACGCCGCTGGTGCACGGGATCATGGTGTCTCACAGCGAGGAAGACCTGCTGATGATCCGAGCGGCGTTCCTCAAACTGACCAAAAAGTCTCTGTACTCCACCCTGCAGGTCCAGACTCACACACACAGCCTCGCCCCACAGCAGAGGGAGTCTGCATCTGCATCACACCTGCTGTTTTTGTTCTTGTTGCAGAACCATTTCAAAGGAGAACATCTGCAGGCTCTTCTGGCCATCTGCCGATCCGAAGATTGAGTCTGATTCTCCTCATGAAGCTTGATGTTTATACTTTATCTAGAAGTGTTTATAAGTCTCAGAACCCATTTGAAAGCTGCTCTTTGATCTGACTTCTTCTGCTTTCAGACACATCTGTCCTTACCTTCTTGATCTTCTGAAGCAGCATGTGGTATTTTTCTGAATAACTTACTTGAAGAATGACTTTTTATTCCGCAATAAAGAACTTTGTGCCACAACTTATTTAGTACGTTTTTTATTTCTTGAATAAGATTATTAACATTTAGAAAGTGCTTTGACATGATTTTGACTTTAAAATGTTCTGAATCTGATTCGGACTCAACAACAGATCCAGATCAGTATTTTGGTTCAGGACCAACAGCTAAAATATTCAGTCTTGTCCTCCTTTGGGCCAGTTCTTCAGCAGGTCAGGAGTTGAGACTTTTTCATGACCTTCATTGAATCAGAGAATCCCACCAGCTTCTCTGTGAAAGTGGTCTAAATGTCTCTAATGGTTGAAGCTCAGAGAAAGACCGTGAACAGGAGAGATGCAGCAGAAAGCTGGAGAGACATTTTCTGTCCTGAATTTGAACCAGTGGTTGGTGAACCAGTGGTTGGAGGACCAGTGGTTGATGAGTCAGTGGTTGGTGAACCAGTGGTTGATGAGTCAGTGATTGGTGGACCAGTTGTTGGAGGACCAGTGGTTAATGGACCCGTGGTTGATGATCCAGTGGTTGGTGGACCAGTTGTTGGAGGACCAGTGGTTAATGGACCCGTGGTTGATGATCCAGTGGTTGGTGAACCAGTAGTTGGAGGACCAGTGGTTAATGGACCCGTGGTTGATGATCCAGTGGTTGATGGACCAGTTGTTGGAGGGCCAGTGGTTAATGGACCCGTGGTTGATGATCCAGTGGTTGGAGGACCAGTGGTTAATGGACCCGTGGTTGATGATCCAGTGGTTGATGGACCAGTTGTTGGAGGACCAGTGGTTAATGGACCCGTGGTTGATGATCCAGTGGTTGGTGGACCAGTTGTTGGAGGGCCAGTGGTTAATGGACCCGTGGTTGATGATCCAGTGGTTGGTGGACCAGTTGTTGGAGGGCCAGTGGTTAATGGACCCGTGGTTGATGATCCAGTGGTTGGTGGACCAGTTGTTGGAGGGCCAGTGGTTAATGGACCCGTGGTTGATGATCCAGTGGTTGGTGGACCAGTTGTTGGAGGACCAATGGTTAATGGACCCGTGGTTGATGATCCAGTGGTTGGTGGACCAGTTGTTGGAGGACCAGTGGTTAATGGACCCGTGGTTGATGATCCAGTGGTTGGTGGACCAGTTGTTGGAGGACCAGTGGTTAATGGACCCGTGGTTGATGATCCACTGGTTGGTGGACCAGTTGTTGGAGGACCAGTGGTTAATGGACCCGTGGTTGATGATCCAGTGGTTGGTGGACCAGTTGTTGGAGGGCCAGTGGTTAATGGACCCGTGGTTGATGATCCAGTGGTTGGTGGACCAGTTGTTGGAGGGCCAGTGGTTAATGGACCCGTGGTTGATGATCCAGTGGTTGGTGGACCAGTTGTTGGAGGACCAATGGTTAATGGACCCGTGGTTGATGATCCAGTGGTTGGTGGACCAGTTGTTGGAGGACCAGTGGTTAATGGACCCGTGGTTGATGATCCAGTGGTTGGTGGACCAGTTGTTGGAGGACCAGTGGTTAATGGACCCGTGGTTGATGATCCACTGGTTGGTGGACCAGTTGTTGGAGGACCAGTGGTTAATGGACCCGTGGTTGATGATCCAGTGGTTGGTGGACCAGTTGTTGGAGGACCAGTGGTTAATGGACTTGTTGTTGATGATCCAGTGGTTGGTGGACCAGTTGTTGGAGGACCAGTGGTTGGTGGACCAGTGTTAGTGGTTCTGTTAATTGCGATACCAGCTGTAGAAATGGTCATCATCCCAGTAAAGTTTGTTTGTGCAGCATCTGGAGGTGGGGGGTTTTCCCTAGGTTTTGCTGTAGGTGTTGTAATTGGTTGAACCTAGTGGATAAGGAATCCAGTCAGTGCATGAAAAGATTACTACAGAGTTGACAACCTGTCTCAGGACACATATGTGTGACCTTCACACAGAGTTAATGATTTTACAGGAAAGGCTTCAGGTAATAATGACGCGTTCAGGTTTGTTTTCAGGTGTGGCCTCAGACACGGACCAGTGTTTCTCCTTGCTTTTAGGTGAAGGACACTTGGAAAACTTTTTAAACCTAATTTAAACCCAGCAGCAGCTTTATTCACTTTAAAGCTGCCAAACTTCTGGAACCACCAATGTTTCATAAGAGCATCACAGAGTGCCGTGAAAACTCAAAATAAAGCATCATAACCTATTTTAACAAGAGAAGCACATTTCAGGTCATCTGTAGTTTTTCCTGGTTTTAGGATGAAAGTTACCTGAGGAAACACCTGCAGAGCCACGCAGAGCAATCCCAGACCCAAAGTCCTCATGATGAAGAACCAAAACGATGAGATGTCGACCTGCTGCAGAGAAAAGCTGAAACACAAACAGGAAACTCCTTTTTGCTGCTTTTATATGAACCGATCACGTCTCGGGGAGGGGGTTGGAGCAGGTTTATGAGGCTAACTGTTTCCAGGAAGCTGTTTTAGTCACTGACATGAGAAAAATCCCCCTTGGTGTACATTCATAAACTTTTATTATTAATAACTAAAATATTTTTGTCATGGAATTTCCCAGCAGAAATCTAACTCCTCTAAGTGTTAATGATCAGCTGTTGAATTCAAATTAAACCTTGTCGTCGTCTCTAAGGCTGAGCCCGGCCACCCTACGGAGGAAACTCATTTCAACCGCTTGTATCCGCGATCTCGTTCTTTCGGTCATTACCCAAAGCTCATGACCATAGGTGAGGATTGGGACATAGATCGGTCGGTAAATCGAGAGCCTGGATTTCTGGCTCAGCTCCCTCTTCACCTCGACAGATCGGCTCAGCGTCCGCATCACTGCAGACGCCGAACCAATCCGCCTGTCGATCTCCCGATCCCTCCTACCCTCACTCGTGAACAAGACCCCGAGATACTTAAACTCCTCCACTTGAGGTAGGACTTCTCCCCCGACCCGGAGTTGGCAAGCCACCCTTTTCCGGTCGAGAACCGTGGTCTCAGATTTGGAGGTGCTGATCCTCATCCCAGCCGCTTCACACTCGGCCACGAACCTACCCAGCAAGAGCTGAAGGTCAGAGCTGGATGAAGCTAGGAGGACCACATCATCCGCAAAAAGCAGAGACGAGATTCTCCTGCCACCAAACTCGACACATTCCACACCACGGCTGCGCCTAGAAATTCTGTCCATAAAGGTAATGAACAGAACCGGTGACAAAGGGCAGCCCTGGCGGAGTCCAACCCTCACCGGGAACAGGTCCGACTTACTACCGGCTATGCGGACAAAAACTCACGCTCCTCTGGTAAACCGTTCTTTGTCTCACTCTTCACCCAAGACCAATTTGTCATGGGAGACCCTACCAGGGGCACAAAGTGCCCCAGACAACATAGCTCCTAGGATCATTAGGGCACTCAAACTCCTCCACCACGATAAGGTGACAGTTCAAGGAGGAGTTCAAATCAAACCTGTTGATTTAAAATGACCTATCAGGTTAAAGGTCACAACAGCAGAAGGTCAGCCCTGATTTCACCACGTTTCAGGCTGAGAGACAGGGTAGGCCTATCAAGAACTGCTCTGGAGTGGTTCTCCTCTTATCTTTCTGAGCGCTCCTTTTCTGTGGCCTTCTCCAAGTTTAGGTCCTCCACCACCTCCCTTACCCATGGTGTCCCACAAGGTTCTGTGTTGGAGCCTCTGCTCTTCCTCCTCTATCTGCTTCCTCTTCAGCACATCCTGAGCTCCTTCAAAGGAATCTCCTACCATCTTTATGCAGATGACATCCAACTGTACATCTCCTTTAAGCCCCATGAGATGTCTAAGCTGCAGCTGTTACACACCTGCTCAGACTCTATCAAAACCTGGATACTGGGAGCTTTCTACAGCTGAATGGCCTACTTACCTGTTCTGATTTAAGATAAACTACCGGTCCTGGTCTAAGGTAAACTACCTGTCCTACAGTCAAATAAACTACTGTAGCAGTTCTAAACTCAAGTAAACTACCTGTACTGATTTAAAATAAATTACCTGGCCTGGTCTAAGATAAACTACCTGTCCTGGTCTAAGATAAACCACCTGTCCTGGTCTCAGCTGTGACTCTTTACATCCAGGTGATCTGAAGAATGAACAAAGAGACCAACAGACTGAAGGAAGTGAAGGTGTGACACTTTCCACTGGACACTGTCGACAAATTGATGGTGAAGCTGGATTCAGTGGTGCCGAGGGTCTGGTTGTTGTAGCTGGTGGTGCTGTTGGTTATACTGGTGTTGTAATCATTGTTGTTGAATAAGTTTGTTGTTTTGGCGTTGGTGGTTGTGGTAGTTTTGGTGGTTCTGGTAGTTTTGGTGGTTCTGGTAGTTTTGGTGGGATTGGTAGTGATGGTGGGTTTTGTGGTTGAGGTGGTGGTCACGGTGGTGGTGGAGGTGCTGATTGGTGTAGTGGTTGTGGTAGTATTGCTGGCGGGTAAACTGGTGGTGGAGTCATCGGTTCTGGTCTGAATGAGGACAGAAGATGCAAACAGATTGATGATTGTAACGCACACAGGAGTGAAACTCAGGCCCTCGGGCTAATCTGGCCTGCGGTGTATTTAGGGTGACCATGTTTCCATTTCCTAAACGAGGACGGGGATCTGTGCCTACCGTTGACATCACACGTTGGTGTGGGTTAGGCTTAGATGCGGCACTAAGTCTTTGAAGGTGATCTGAATTGCATCAAATGTAATAAATATTGTGTGCATAACTTGCTGCTTTTTACAGGTAAAAAGGTGTCATGGGACAAGTCTACATACATTTTCCTTTTCAAACTTTTGTTTTAGACTTTTTAATCTCATTTTACTGCATATCTTCTCAATCCTCCAGAAAAGTTACTGCCTATCTTACTTTTTTACCTCACGAGTTAATTTTGAACCAAGCAGATCAAAGGGATCTACCCACTGCAACAACAGCACCGTACGCATCAGTGAGGTGAAGTCACCGGAGCATAGGGGACGAACCCTTCTGCAGTAGTGGAGCGCGTCAGGCACGAATAAAAGACAGAAAGTACCAGAGAATATGAGCGGACGCAAACGATCGTGTTAATAAAAATGTTTTAGGTGCGCCACTTTGAGAATTAGCCGTGCGAAGGACGCAGCTGCCGGGAGCGCTTAAATAATCCGTGCTCAACTGTGTGTGGTATTTATTTTAAATGCTTTTATTACGATTCTTAGTGGGCTTCCTAAACTTATTTAGGCGTGGCTTTTTCTGTCTTATTACTCATAGCAACAAGTAAACGTCACGTAAAACGTTGCCTCGTGAGTTCTGTGCTGCCGTTTACGTGTTTTATGATCACAGCAATTAACCGGCTAAGCTGTATTTAGTTTTTCAGCAATGGATGATCAATTGTCAGATCACACATAAAAAGCACTTTGGACAGATCCTGAGACGCTCCGGCCTGACATATTTATTTTATTCACGGAAAAAAATCAGACTAGTGATTTCTCTTGGCGTTCAGTTTATACATTCAAACAGCACAGCACTCTATTTAAACTACTTACATGTAAATCTGTTATTTGTCCATCCATCCATCCATTTTCATCCGCATATCCGGAGTCGGGTTGCGGGGGCAGTAGCCTAAGGCGAGAGGTCCTGACTTCCCTCTCCCCAGCCACTTGGGCCAGCTCCTCCGTGTCATGTTGTGGGTAATGTACTCCACCCAGGACATGAAGAATCACACAAGAGGTAAGTAAAAATTACAAATGTTTTATTTTAAGGTGAACAGAAAAAAGAACTAGAACTAAGGGCGCTGCTTCTGTGAACAGGAACAGGATGGTACTGGAATCTATGAGGATAATAACAGAAGGTAAGCGAGGCCAGAACCAGAGAACCAGGAGAATATGAGTCCGTGACTAAAAGTTCTTACGGTCCACAACCAGGATTAGAGCGGAGACGAACTGGAAGAGGTTGGAACTGGTGAGATGGTTCTGAGCATGGGCAGGCGTGGAGAAAGGAGGCCAGAGGATCCTTGAGTGACGAGACGTGTGACAACTCCAGGCAAGGTAGGTGGTGCAGAACAAGATACTAGAACAGGAGACACAAAACTTCATTAGATCAGGATCACAGGAACAACGGCGGATTCAAGGCTAGATGCTACCCATGTGAGAGTATCAACCGGCACTGGGGCTCTTCTTCTTCATGTCCGTTTAAATGGCGGGTGGCAACCAAGGTGCATTACCGCCACCTACTGTGCAGGAGTGTGAGTCAGAGCGAGGAGAAAAAAAAACTAAATTCTATTAAATACCTTAATTTTCCTAAGAAACTCTAGCACCAGTTTATAAATGGACTTATTGCCATTCAACAACGTTCTCAAATCCCAAACACCATATCCTTTATTTTTCAACCTATCTACAAATTCACCCCTAATTACTGTATACTTACTACAAAAACACAAAACATGTTCTACCGTTTCCTGTCCTGTCCCACAATCACAAAAACCTGTTAGATGTTCACCCAACATATGCAAAGTGCTGTTTAATCCCGAATGTCCTAATCTCAATCTCGTTATTATTGTTTGTTCTCTATTATTTAACTCCTTAATCGTCATTTTACCTGCTACTGTCTGTATATTAAATAAATGTCTTCCCTTTTTATCCCTTACCCACATGTCCTGCCATTCATTCATAACTCTATCCTTAATCAGTGACTTCACTTCGTTGCTGCTAAAAGGGATCGGTTTCACTGCTTCTAACTTTACTGCTTGCTTTGCGTAATAATCTGCTAATTCATTGCCTTCTATCCCTCTGTGCGCCGGTACCCACATAAATCTTATTTCAATCCCTAAAGCACACAACCTAAATAGGCATTCAAATATTTCTAGAAAAATATCAACTCTATTTTCATTTGTTCTTGAATTAAGTGCCAACAAAACTGACAAAGAATCCGTACATATTATACAATTTCTAAATCTAGTTTGCTCAATCCAATCCAAACTAAAATAAATTGCCAGCATTTCAACTGTAAAAACTGACATACCATCTGGAGTTCAAAATTTCTCCGGCACTGGGGTTGAGTCACGCCACTCCTTAAATCCACTGCACCTCCAATTAGTGGAATTCCCAACAGCTGAGATGACTGCCGCGCCCTCTTGCAAACACAGAGCTGACACACCTCACCAGTAGATGGAGGCAAACCGTGACACTCCGGGGGAATCCCAAAGGGTTCTCTGGCCAGGTCCGGTAAGAAGTCTGCTCCGACAGCTTCTGGCATTTTTAAAAAGTATCCCAGGGGCACGGTAAGGGTCGGAAATGTTTAGTCTATTTAATTTCTGACTATATAAAATGATTTCTTCAGTTTTAAAGTGTGAAGTAAACTCCTACGAAGTAAAATCCAAGCCGATCCTGTTCATTTTGTTTACGTTTGTTGCCTGCCAACATGGCGTCTGCTCTCTGAGAGTCATGTGACGTCCGGAGCTCTATAAAGGTGGAAACTGGATTTTTTTCAAGCCTGGATAAAAACCCGGATATTTTCATCAATATAGGATCACCTGTAAACCTGTCTCTGTCCCCATAGTAACAGGTGTTGTAAACCTGTCTTCATCTCCATGGTAACGGGTGATGTGAACCTGTCTCTGTCTCCATGGTAACAGATGCTGTAAAACTGTCTCTGTCTCCATGGTAACAGATGCTGTAAAACTGTCTCTGTCTCCATGGTAGCAGATGCTGTAAAACTGTCTCTGTCTCCATGGTAACTGGTGTTTTGAACGCATCAATCTCCAGACTAAAATCTGCTTCCAAATCAGAGATGAACTCAGGTAAAAGCCGAAGCTTTTGATTGGCCTAAATCAGAGACATTGATGCTGGACAGAAAGAGTCCATGTTGTCGTTGTCTCTGAGTGAGACCGGTTCAGTCTCTTTTATGATTCAACAGATCCTGGACAAGCCCCCAATTTCTCACCAACAGCTGTGAATGAATAATGGGTTCTAGACGCTCCCAGAAATAATCCTCCATCTAAATCTGGTCTTCATCTCATATTAATAACTCAGTAGATCTGATGCTGATGGAGCTTCTACCAAATTTCAGCAGCAGCTTCAGTCCGACAGAAGCTTTAAGCTCCATCAGGCTCAGGTCTGCTAGAAATCTGCAGCTCTGGATTGTGATTGGTTACCTGATGTTTCACCTGTTTTTAATGAAACCAGCTGACTGATGATGACCATCTAAAGTTGGTGTGTGAGGTTGAGAGGTTCCAACTAGATAGTCGGACTCACCTCAACGCATGGCTCTGGCTCTGGAACCAGTTTCCTTGAGAGGGGTTGGACTTTCTACCAACCGGGAGTTGCTCCCACTGAGAGGGGCCAAGCAGGGGTGGGCATACTAGTTGCCCCCATCTTGGTGCTTGTACTTATTCTGGCTCTTGGCGGGTGCAGACACTTTTTTCCTCCTCTCCTCCATATCTTATCCTCAAGGCCTTTGTCTGTCTCTGTGTGCTGGGTGCACAGCTGCTTCTGCATTTTTCTGGAAACTGAAATACATTTCAGCTGGTCTCTCAATGCGATTGATAAAATTTTCTGAGAGGTTGAGGACCAACAAACTGTAAGACAGAGTGGAAATGATCTCCCCCAAAACAATTTCTAATCGGAATCTGGTGCCCTTGAGCCTGCAAGGCTCCAATGAAAACTCCCCCCTCAGAAGATATGTGGAATGTGCTGTCGCTATGGCAACTCAACTCTGCCTCCTTTCCCAGCATGAGCGGGAAGGCCGCCGAAGCGTCCAGGGTCACTGCAACCCTCCAACCCTCAATGCTCCTCCCCCTATCCACACTGAGGTGACATGTGCTGCTTATTGTGGCTGCAGGAACTGAAGTGGGGATAGTCCCAACCCACCACCCCACCTAGTGGACACTT